GTTGCTTTGTTTGTTTTCTTCTTGCAGCTCTATAGCTCATGTCTTTGTCACCTTGAGACTGGCCTATGATAATATGTCATCTTGGAAGGCTTTTATGTTTACTAAAAATCACCATTTTTGCAGTTGAATATTGTCAGTGTCAGCTAATTTATTTTGCTAAACATATCTTAGTTGGGTGAAATCACTCATTTAAGTCTCAAACAGCCATACATGGCTTGGGATTTGCCTGTTGTCTCTGCCCAGCTAGTCCTGCCCTTCTGCCTCTTGTTTGAAACCAGCATAAGGACAAAGGGTAATGGCTTTAAACTAAAACAAGGTAGGTTTAGACTAGATATAAGGAAGAAATTCTGTTCTATGAGTGCAGTGAAACACTGGAATGGGTTGCCCAGAGAGGTAGTGGAGGCCCCATCCCTGGAAACATTCAAGACCAGGTTGGACGGGGCTCTGAGCAACCTGATCTAGTTAGTGGTATCCCTGCTCACTGCAGGGGGTTTGGACTAGATGACCTCTAGGGGTCCCTTCCAACCCAAAACATTCTATGATTCTATGAATCCTGATTTCCTGCTCTCTCAAGGAGCATTGGAGACATTCCTTGATATGAAAGAGGGGGAACAAACACTGTAGGCAAGCGTGGGAGGCAGCTCTAAGAGATGAGCTTCCCTGTCCAGAATACACCTTCCTTTGTGCTTGAGCAAACTGGATTAGATTGCACATTGTTGGTGGCATGCTCGGTGTTGGATAGAGTTCGTTTAGCTGTAGACTCAATTGTGCTTGCATGGTTGACTGTGTTTGTGCTAATAAATGAGTAAAACTTTGTTACATGTCTGTAATACAGGGAAAGAACGTTATGACAATCTTTGTAGATCCTCGCTTTCCGCAAGGCCTTTCTTAATTTACTGCCTCTGTTTTTAAAAAAATCTTGAAGATGTTAGGAACAAGAAGGAAGAAGAATGTCTTGGCTGGAACATTTGTTATTTCGTTAAAAGAAAAAAGGCGGGCGGGGAAGCATTATGATTTTGGGAAAGTGTCAGCTTACTGAGAAATATTGTATTCTAGAAACGATGTGGAAAGTTCAAAAATTTCGTCAGTTCAGCTTATTGTTGTTTTTCTCATGGACATGGCTTGGATTTCTGAGGTGAACAAAGTGACTAGGTCTATCTTCTGCTTTTCCCAGAACATGTTTTATTCAAGATTCTGGAGAGGGAGAGCAGTTGTGTGACGCAGAACTCTAACCATGTGGCTCTGTTGTAGGTCTTTCATATGTGATAAACACTTCATGTGGCCACTGTCTCCTTTGTTTCTCATATTAGCCCTCTTCAATCCATCCAGATTTTTGTACAAAGGATATTCTTTACTGATGCTCCAGTCATATACCTCCCCCTGCCTCTCCCCAGTCCTTTCTCTGGCTTCTTTTTATCTTCTGGTTCTCATCCTCTCTCTGAGGACTGCAGTGATACTGCAAACCCTGACTTTTATCTGTTACCCTATTTTTTTTGATACATGCAACTGTGTCCTTTCTCACATATGCTTCATGTTTTCTGCCTGTCATTTCATGTTGCACACAGGTCCAGTCAGCTGTAGTTGCTTAACAAAAATATATGTGCTAATACAAAGCTAGAAAGAAAGCACTTACATTGCTGGTGTTATTTGCTAGAAAGGCTTCAAACAAGTTGCAGAAGGTAGAGTGTGTTAGTGCAGAATTTGCTGAAATAACTAAGCCTTTCAAAAATTTTAAGGACTGATGAACTTGTCAAATTTTGTGTTGCACATGACTAGTACTCCACAATAGTAGGCACATTGGCAACAAAAAGGGAGGGGTAATGAGGGAGAAATGTAGATATACTTTGTCGTAATTATCTTTAAATCTTTATCTAGTGTTTCAATGCTCTCTCCTTTCCTTCCTGAATCGAACTTTAGAATTGTGTACGTTAAGTCTGTTGTTTCATGTCTTTCCAGCCAGAAACATTCTGATAACAATTTTTTTGCTAATGATTTGTTAGCAAGATCAGACATCTGTTAAAAATGTTGAGAGGCCAGAGGCCAAACACATTATTTTCTTTGAAAACTGCAATGAACATTTGCCAGTATATGTAAAAACTACTTGTTCAACCTTCTATCATTTTTAGAGCAATCTTCAATCATTTTAGAATTTTTGATTTAGTATTACAATTCAGGGTTATATTCCTTTGCAGAATAATATATGGAGGGCAAGCTTGCAGAGCTCAAAGTTAGGAAAACAATCTTTTTACTGGTAAACTGAGCAAACTTATTTTCAAAGACAAACAGAATTACTAATGCAATCTTATTGTCCCTGTCAGATGAGTCTTGTTTTACATGAAATCCTAAGGCATCGAGCTGGATAGAGTTGTGCTAAATTTGTTCTGTTGTCTTCATTTTTGTGATTAAGGGGCGAATAAGGTCTAAGTCTTGGATATATGAATGTTGCTATTTCTCTTTTTCTATGGGACAGCTGAAAAACTGTAAGAACTGGTCAAAGTATAGGTACTTCATTGAGAAGGTTCCATAGTGGGTGACATATTTAAGGTGAGCTGTTTAATTCCTGAAAGATACAGTTTAGGTTTGATGAACAGATTCATAACCTCATGCTAAATAAAATCAGTATTTTTGACCATGGAAAAATAACAAAACTCCTGAAATATTATGTGATTTACTATCTATCTATTTTTCTATGTATATATAGATGTTTGGGGCTTTTACTAGTAAAACATAAAAGAAAAGGCATTGGTTGGACCCCAGATCTTTTTCTTTATTTTAATTTGTATCCAAAACAAAACAGAAGGAACAAATCTCAGAACGATTGAGGATGAAATGAAAGAAAAAAAAAACAACACCCTTGTATTAAGTTGGGCAGCAAAATGTAAAAATTTTTTTTTAATATATGTAAGTCAGTGTGACGTTGTTGGAGGGGGGGGGGATGGGAGTGTTGAGTAGCCAAGTGTTTTGCAGCCCAAATTTAGTTTTTCCAATTTATTTGAAGTAGCTAATTACCGTATTATAATATTTCTGTCATTTTTTAGGTGTAATTATTAACCATTTATGACAATTTTGCAAGTGTCCATGGTATTTCTTAGACTGAAAAAACCATAATTTTAATTGCTTGTTAATGTTTAACAAATATTACAGAAAATTTATTTTTTGATAGCTATTCACAGTTTATCTTTTATATGCGACCACAGACTTGGAAAAAATTGTGTAATTGGATGCATAAAATATGTTTCTTAGTATTTGTAAATACCCCCATCAAAGACATACAGTTGTAAACTGCAATCTGTTCATAGAGTTTCTCCAGGATATGCACAATTGGCTAGAAATGACAGTAATTTCAAAACAAGTACTATGGCTAAATGTGGGCTATTACATTCTATCTCTAAATACTGTAAGAAGCATTTATTTGGTGTTTGAAGTGCTCCTTTGTTGAAGAGTCATTTGTGGAGGGACTGACTTATGCAACTCCTCTCAAAACTTGACTAAAACTGCACACCAAAATAAGCTTGCAATCATTATTAATGTCATCACACAGATTCTCTAGCTTTTGGACCAAATTTAGAACAAATATTTGAAGGGTCAACAACATTAATTACTTTACTAGCTTGGGTCTTTTGGATACACCATAGTCCATAAAAAGAGCCCTAGTAAGGTGCATAGTCCAAAGTCAGGAGATCCAGTAACTGAAGATTCCTGTGCAAGCTTAATTCAGTCTGTGTGTTTGCATTTTGTGATCACATCCTCCTTTTTTATTCTGTAGAACTGTGTCTCTTTTAATGTCTAGATTAGAGAGTAGTCACTAAGCAGCTGGTCAGTATTTTGTCCTCTTACTGTTCAGGGTGTGATTCTAGATCTAACTTCCTGCATGCTGTTCAAACCCTCCTCTGAAAATATATATGCTGCTATGCATATTTTTCTGTTTTCCTCATCACTATGGTAAATAAAATACTTTAAGGTCACTAGTTTGTCTTCCTCTCTGTATGAGGAAGGGCATGTTTTAATCCTTGTCTTGCAGCTGGGAAGCTGAAACACAGTTGCACAGGCAACCTTTAATTCTTGAATGCTTTATTTGACAAATATATGAGTTAGTTTTATTTTAGGAAAAGAGGGCAAATGAGAAGTGTGATTTCCTAGGTGTTAAAAAAGGAGTCAACCTGTCTCATATTCCTTCATCTCTGTTTCTATCTTTCCCCTTTTCTTCCATTTTCCCTTTCTGTTTATGAAAGGCATTTTGTTATCTTAGCTGAGACCTTTGGTTTTGGTTGGGAAGTGGGAAAGCTTGATTTTACAAAAGTGCTAAAATTTAATTTGAGGTTCCTCCCTTTTTAATAGCAGTTTTGCAGAATTTACTAAATAGTGACTTAAATAAGAAGTCAGCTTGATACAAGAACAAAGTATGAGTTTGAAAGTAATTTCTAGCTTTCTCTAGGTTTATCACCAAAACAGAAATAATTAAAAGTAAACACACATCATTCCTAAACTTGAATTTTATTGCAGCTAAATGGAACACAAACCTAAGAATATCTGAGCTTTGTTTTATATAAGCCATGAATTTTGTCGGGGATTAAATTTGGCAAAAGTAAGTTCCTCCAATCCTTCTTTTAAGTATGTATATTGTATTTTGGTATTTTTTGTAACTATATGTCTGCTTAGGGGAGTGTTGAGAACTGTCTTAAAATATATGTTTATCTTAACCAGGCATAGCCACCCTTATTCAGTGCCAGCGGGAGTTTTCCAAGAGTGCTGATGCTATGTAAATGTGGACTGTAAAAAAGTAATATCTTGTATTCAAACTCTCATTATAAAAGTATATTCTGAATCATATAGGGCTTTTTTAAAAGGCTGTAGAAATATTTAGCTTCTGTACCTATTAAAAATGCACAGTTTTCTGTTTAAATTTAGGAATGGCAACTATAAAAAAAATGCCATAAAGAAATATTTGTCCCATCTTGAAATAAGCAAATTTTCTAATGTTTTATTTGTTTGACAAACAGGTACACACAAAGTTCCACTGCAGGCAAGCCCATGCTCCAGGCACCGACACTTCATGCTTGACATTTTCCTATGATGGTACTGTACTTGCCAGCCGGGGAGGTAGGTGATTGAAAGAACCCTTTGATGTGTTGAATCTAATACAATTTTAATTTTAAATGAAAGGGTTCAGCGAACAAACCATTTAAATCATATCATTGTTAAATGTTACTGTTTATGATGGAGGTAAGATGGTGAAACCAGATACTAGTGATTTAAACCTGAAGTGTTGCACAATTGCATCTTTTATTTGATACACCATGCAATACTCTGTTACTGAAAGCACATTTTACAGTAGTTAAGAAATATTTTAAGAGAACTTTGCTGTTTATATTACACAGTTCCTGATCTGTCGTCTTCTTTAGCATTAGTAATACACCAAACCAAAATTATTAGCTTAATTAAAAGAAAAACAAGACCAGTTTCATTACTTAGTTCTTTCTGGGAGGATTACTGCTCTCAGTAACAGTCTCTCTGTTCTGGAGTTATTAATTCCTCAAGCAGCTTCCTTATGTGATGTCCTTTTCTGTTCTAATTGGAATTTTTATCTAATTTATATTAGATCTAATTTATATTATAATTTATATTATATCTAATTTATATTAGAAGATGCAATGACTGGAAGTGAGTGGCCATGATGTACTTGAATGGCAAAAAAATTTGAAATGTCTGCAGAACAGGAAAGAACGCTTGTTTATTAAACTTCAGATAAAACTTCTCTTAAAAAAGTCTTAGATAACAGAACAAGTCTTGAGAAAATGAAGATACATTTGAATACTCATTCACTCCAGCATTAGATGTATTATATAGGATGTTAGCTGCCTAAGACAGCTTTTCATACAGAGATTTGTCTACCCGGTATTTTGTAGGCAGGTGCAAGCATACAGTCTGAGCTGTCTGGATGGAAACCAGCTGTAACCAGAAGCTATGTGTATGCATTAGCATGGCCCCAAGGCCAAATAAACAGGCCTAGGGAGAGGCAGTGTATGTTAATGTCAGTTAACGTTGTGCCTAACATATGTACAGGACATCTGGTCAGTTTGGTACATAGACATAATGAGATTACATATATAAAATACCAGGATAGAGGTATTCATAGACAGCAAAAACTCTGAAGCAGGGAATGTGCTTCCAAGCCAAAGGTTGTAGCTTGCAATTGCCTTGTGTCCTCCTCCGTTCCCGTCCCTGATGAGTACAGTGGCATTGGTGGCTTTTACAGCAGTATGCAGCTGCTGTTGGATGCTGCCTCTCTGGATTCTTTGTATGTCTTGCCATGTTTCTAAGATTCCAAACATTATGTACCTCAGATCACATCTTTCACAGTAAGACGATGGTAGTCTTGTCCTTGACAGCCCTAGGCTTACTAGGGCATGCTAACAGTACTTGGATTGTTTCTTAATCCTTGTTCAGGCTTCTGGATCCAGAGATCTACTGCCACTGTACTCATAATGAATGAGTTCCAAGTGGTTGAGGCAAACTCTCAACCTAGCTGGTCCTTACTGACCCAGACACTTACTATGTGAGAACCTTCTCAGAAAGTCAGTGAAGTGTGTCTCTCTCTTCTCTGGGCTAAGTGAAATGTTGCATCTGTCTGCCAGTGATGTTGCTCCCAAAAAATTCACACAAATGTACTTTATAAGATTTAAAGAGAAACCTCAGTGTGCTTTTAAATATTAACAGCAAGCAAGCTTGATACTTACATGAAGAATATTCACTAGCGCTGTCTTGAAACCTCCATTTATGTAAATTTTCTTATGTTTCACATTTATGAATGTAGATCACATAAGTGACCTTTGCTTATTTTTATTACATGTGGCACTTTTGGTTGCCTGCTCTTCCTCATCTGTCTCCAGTTTTCTGTCGTGTTAAACAGACTTTCACTTATGTTTTATCTACCACACTCTGCTCTAAGCTATATAAAATGTTGATTGATTGTTTGCAGAATGTAAGACTGTACAGAAATTTGGCCCCTCAGTGTGGATAAAAGTGCTACCTTTGTCTGGTGTATTAAAAAAAAACCAACCTGTGTGTGCTATGCTAGAGAATGAGGAGGATTCATACCTTATTTTGACTTGTTTGGTTAGTGCTTTAATATGAGTATTGCTTTGGATCTGTACCAACAAAAGCAGATGTGGTTCCAGCATTCATAGATCAACACACCTGCCAAGTGCTGAGGATCAAAGAGAGGACAGTTGTTTGGGGATTGGGGACTTCCATTGAAAGCCTGATTGACTCTCCTACATCTGATGTAGATTCTGTGTTGGATATGAGGGAGATGAGGCAGGGCTCAGCTGCAAGCACAAGGGAAAATGAAAAACTAAGGAGCTGCTTATGAGAGATCCCAGTCTTACTTTGGTTGGGTATTAGGGAGTAACTTGACAGAAACTTAAGTAAGTGATATTTTTGCACACTTGTAACCATGAAAGTAATTTTTTCTAAATACAGTGAAGATAGTATTTGGGGACCCTTTTTTTAGCAATGAAGAGGCAAGCATTAGGACTGGACTTGGGGTCCTATGATAAAAATTTTAAAAATCTTTTTTTGACTCCTGGTATGTACAGAGCTTACGGAGTTAGTCTTTGTCATGATATGGGGCAATGACTTCATTAATTCCGTTAGTCTCGTGATAGCTATTAGTTTGATGGTTTATTTATTTTCTGTGCCATGAACAGTGTGCAGACTCAGTGTCATCTTAATCAGTAAACTTACATAGGAAGATAAGTTCACTGTAGTTAAACGCAAGAAAAAATATTCACATTTAAGCCTATCAGATAGCTTATGCAGACACATGCTTTCTTTTGAACTCAAATTTTTTTGTGTATGTTTACTTTTGATGTTTTGTTCTTGTTTCTCTTTTTACAGTGTTCTTAAGGAAAATGAAAACATTTAATTTTGAAGGTGGTTTAAAAAGTAGAAACACCTTGAGTACAGTTTTGTGTATACTCTATGCAGCAGCATGTATAGTGACTTTCTATTTTGTGTAAAGTAGTAATATGTTGCTCTTTATGGTAAATACAAACATTAGCATTTTAAAAATCAAATGGGTTTATGTCAAATAATATTTCTCAGGAGCTGATGTTAATTTCAAACAGTGCCTAAAATGCATTCGTTAGCTTTACTAGGCATAGTCAACTATTTGTAACACTTGGAGCTGAAATGACTTTCTCAAAGTCTGCAGTATCCTTCTGTATGTTTAGCGAGGATGATGCACTTAAATATTTCTGGTATGGATGCAGGTGATGGTTAGAGCTGTTCCGAGAGTAAGTGCAGAATCCCTAATTTGTGACTTCCCTCCCGCTTGGCTCAGAGTGAGTGTGGTCCTGACCTCTGGTGCCTCTGAAGGTTGTTCTCTAGCTGTTGCAGCATCTCTTGCAGAACCAGTGCAGAATGCAGAAGCATGTACCTTGTTCTCTTCTCACCTACATAGTATGAGCCTTCATAGAAAGGGTCAAAGTTTATAAACATAATATATTTTTGTGATCTCTCACAGTATGTTATGCTATGCCTTTCCTATGTTGTATTTCCTTTTTTAAATTCTCATTTCCTATATTTCTTTGGTTTCCCCAATGATCTTTGTGAATTTCTGTCCTTGAGCTTTGCTTTCAACACAGGACTCCCTCTTTAAAATAGGAGCTTCTTGAAGGGTGTTGCTGACTTTAGGCTTATGAGTTCCTAGCAGCACTTTGCTTCTTTTCGGTCTATTTGCATCCATGTACTTGTCTTCCTGGTCAGTATCTTCTGAAAAGGGAAAAAGAAAAAAAAAAATAAAATCACATAAAATCTTTGTAGTGCATTGGCCTTTTTTTTTTGACTGAAAGCCATTTGCAAAATGCCTATCCTGGCTCACCAAAGAATTTCTCTAGGACCTAATTTTACCTCTAATTAAATCCACTACTCAATACCATTGGCATAATGGTGTCTGACCTATTGTATCAGACTAGAGCCTGTTTATTGGTATTCTTCTTATTAAAATGGCAAAGAATAGAGTTTGAAATGCTACTAAGAATGCTATATAAGCTTTAGACAATCCTGCCAGGCTTTGGAGAAGTTTGCCATCAAGAAAAATACTGACCAATCTGAGTGCTTCTGACTGAATTATTTGAATGCTTCATACTGAACTGTACAACTTCTGTTTTATATGTTTTTGTTTAAGGATAACAATTTTTGTCCACTTATGAAGTAATTAAAAATAGACCAGTGCTGCTACAGCTCTTGTAAAGAAGCCCTTTAGGCATCAATGGAAGGATGCTCCTAGAAAAAATCCTGGTGCTCTGGAAAGTTAATATGTCTGTTTTCTCAGTCACAGCAAATTAAACTCCAAATGAAGATTAAATTCAGGAACCACTATTGTATTTGTAACACAAAAAATTTTAATTTGCAAAAGTGAATTTGGGCAAATTGTTAATGAGGGTAAGAGTTTCACAGCATTGGCCGAGTCATTCTACTAGTGCTTCTCCCTTTCCAAATACTTTGTCATCTATTACTGCACAGTGTAAGACAGTGTTGATTTGAAATCAACCACAACTTTTCAAGACCTTCTAGAGTCTTCTAATTTTTTAAACCAGCAGATTACATTTTCTTGTTAGCAGAAGAGCCATAGCTAAATGTCTGACCTAATCTCTCCTGCTAAAGCCTGGCAGACTACAGCTTGAAGAACATGTCAAGGCTCATTCCACTGGGAACAGAACAGCTTTGGCTGCTAGCCTTAGATCTGTCCCTGTCCAGAAGATCTGCAGAGTGGCCAAACGGTATCCTTTGCATACATTTATAAAGTGATGATGCTTTAGATACCATATCTTGCAGATAGTGGTTTTTTGTTGGAGGTGGGAGGGAAGAGGGAGGCTTCATATTACACAACCAAATGCTTTGAAGTGCTTGGGATGGAGTCTACTGGGAAACAATAACAAAACAGATATTCCCAAAATAGGCACTCAGCATTTTTCTTTCTTGTCATTTTTTAGCTTCCCAGTGAACAGAAATATACTCTGCTCTAGACATCATTTATTTAAGTTGTCCACTTCTTAAAAATATTTTGTAGTAAGGAGTTATCCTAGTCTTTAATATAAACATACATGATGTACGAGGCCACACATTACTGCTTTCCTTGTAAAGGGTCCTGCTGGCCTTGATTTCTTTTGTTACAGCATGTTATGCTTTTTTTTTTTTAATTCTATTTCCAAGGCTTCATTTAAGCTCTTGATCTCAAAGACTGTGAGTCCACAAATTACTTTTAGACAACAAAATTACTTCCCCGCAAGGTTTGTACTTTGGAAGGAAGCACGTCTGTGGATTACCAGTCATTGTCCTCCTTTTCCTCCTATGTCAGGAAGATTTTGTATCTTCTCACCTAAAATTAATCTCTGGATAGTTTTAAAGAGAATTGTTGTTTGAAAGTCTTTATTTTCACCCTCGAAAGCACTGAGGCACTGATGTCAAATGCAAGGAGATGTCTAGGTGCCTGAGTGAGGTGCTTCAAAGCTCAAATTCTGTAGCTTGTCTCATGCTGGAAATATGTATCCCAGAGGGCTGATCAGCAGACATGTAGATCTCTCTGAGAATAACTAATTAATCTAATTTTTTTTTCCTGTTCTCACTTTGTTAATATATCATGACTTTTTGAAAAGGAATAAACAGCTTGACTTTTACTGGTCTACAGTCACACCATGTTTATCAAACACAGACAAGAATTGCTATAAATGTCTTGCTGTAACCTCGATTTTGGCTTTTATGGCCAAAGGTGGTGTGGAGGAGTGTGAAAAGGTTTTGTTATAGCAATTGCGGGTTCACTTGCTTCCCCAGGGATTTCTGAGTGATCCCAGGGCCTGTTCTCCATTCTGAGATTGCAGTTTGTTGTTGTTTGCCTGTTGAAGAAGGGGGAAGACTTCATGTACCTTCCATTCTTCCTGATCATTTTTTCAGTGCAGGTGGAAACCAGAAACAAAACTTGTTTAGTTTTTTGATCTAGACCATCCATGGTAACATTTTAATTCTTTTGATATCTTAAAAGTTAAGTTTACTCCTAGTAGCAAAGCACCAACACTCACAAGCACAGAATAAATTAGTGTTTGGGGAATCTGATTCCACTGTGGGTAACGGTTCTTGGTAGGAGGGGTTGCCATGATGGAGTTGAGCCACTGAGGAGAAATTTCTAATCTACTGGACTGCAGGAGGTGGAACTTCTCATCCTTGCACTTTCGTAGTCATTTAGGGACAAAAAACTTCCAACTATCCCCATTTTGAATGCTTCTGCTCTATCAGTCTGTTCTTTTTGTGCCTGAATTAAGATGATCTTTTCTGAAGATGTCTAAATTCTTGACTTAAATTTTTTATTGCTAACCTTTGTCCCTTTTGCTTCATAGGAGATGATACTTTAAAGCTATGGGATATTAGACAATTTAAAAAGCCTCTTAATTCCGCGGAACGACTGCCCAGCTTCTTTCCAATGTAAGTACTCTAACTTACTCCAGCTAGTAGGAATAGCAGTAGTTGTGCTGAATAGGAGTGAGTCTACTGGAGTTCTCCTCCTCAGTTCTCACTAGATCCAGAACTGTGCGGGAAGGACTGCACAGGGAGGACTCTGCAATGCGTATTCTTGGCTATTTTAGAACTTCACATTGCTTTAAAAGATCTCGTACTTTTTTGTGATAATTCACAGCTAGCTTTGCTTGTTTTATGCTGCTTTTCAGTCTCATATGTCTTATGTCTCATCAGATTAGCAGCTTTTCAGGAGGAGGCCAGTTCATTGCCTTATGTTTGTGTAATGAGATTCAGAAGTAATCCTCATTCTTATTTGGTCTATGTTTAATAAAAAGAGAGCTGGATTGAAAAGTAGAGATGAAGGTCCATGGTACGAATTCAGGTTATGATGTTAGAAGTGCTGATGACTGTTCTTTGGTACTAAAATACTATGTTGTACTGCATAGTGCTAAGTATTGTATTTCATATTTTTATTGGTACTACCTCCATTTCTATAGCTGTAGCACAGACAAATCCAACTCTAAGGACAATTTATACTTTTCAGATAAGGTCTTAGAAAGGCAGGTCATAGACAGCTCAGTCTTGACTGCAATTTGTAGCATAGAGGAAAAGTAAACAGACAAACATTTTTGGCCACTGAATAAACACTGCCTTACATCACTGAAGAATGTATCATCATCAGAAACAGATTTCATAATTGATTTAGTTTTTCACTTCATGATGATAATCAGATTTGAAAATACTGGTTTTTGTTTGTTTCTCATCTTGAAAAGTTTTCAAGACTTGAGTGGAGGAGAATTTTGTTGGGAGAGGGATTTTTATTGGATCTGCCAGTTTTGCACATTCTGTGCACATCTGTAATTGTACATGTAAATTGATACTGTACATGTATCTGATAACTATAGTAATAGATGACAGCTGACAAAAGATTTTTTTTAAAGCTTTGTCTTGAAAAGATTAACAAATAGAAAGGATTATTTTTAAGGAGTACAATTTATATATAAGTTCCCTATATATTAGCTATTGATTTGCCCAGTATGATAACTTGTTTTCTTCAACAGGACAGATTGTTGTTTCAGCCCAGATGATAAAATAGTCGTCACAGGCACTTCTGTTAAGAAAGGTGGTGGCAGTGGGAAGCTTTTTTTCTTTTATCGGGAGACATTCCAGAAGTTGTATGAGATAGAAGTTACAGATGCGGTATGTATTTTAGTTTTTATTTATCAACTATTCAAAATATGAATGAAGTCGTATTCATAAGCATTGTTCCCCTTGTACAAGTAATGACCTACTAATGCCTAATGACTTACTGTATTTTTTCTACTCCATATTTAAGAGGCAGAGTGGCCTAAGCAGGTGCTATTCTCCTTTCAATAAAAAAAAAAAAAAAAAAAAAAAAGAAAATAAAATCTTGAGCCAAGGTGTTTAAGCACTAGGAGGTGCCTGCTTTGGTGTTACCATTGCATTTCTCAAAGGTTTCTGTGAACCCTTCTAGATCTGTGAAGTGAGGTATGAATCCTAAAATTCTGACATGTTTATGCTGTTTACTCCATCAGTTATCATGATGAAATGCCATATTGTGACAAAAATACTACTTGTCCCTGAAACTAGACATGGTTACTATATAATGTATTTCAGTGGACTCTAGCTTGTGTAAATGCAACAATTTTGTGGCAGAAGGAAGGCATCATTAGGAATTCCTCTGTCAAAAATACCATTCTCACCAGTAATATAAAACCCTAAAATTGTGACTCTGTAATACATAAGAGTCTGTTTATGGCTTGAACTGCCTACCTGTTCCCCTCTGGTTCCTGCCTCTCGATTGCTTACGTGACTCTTGGTCTTCTGCGTAGGCGCCACTATAGGGCGGTGGTCACAAAGGGTCTTTTGGGCAGTTGTAAGCCCCTTCCTCAAATAAACTCTGCATGACCTCCAGCCATGTGTGGCACATTGTCATGTTGGGCCGATCTGAATACAGGGTGTGGGCCTATCAATCAGGACATGGAACTGCACACCATCTGGCATGCTGCCCGTGTCCTGCGCCAACCCAACCCCTTGTCTGCAGTCCCCACTGCCATCCAGACCACAACGTGCTTTGCCACAATTTTTGAGACAGTCCCTCATAACAATGCATTTGGACTCCTTACAGCTAAGTGTCTGGATGTGGTCATGATGGCATCTCCGTTTCATGGTGATGAAGTCAGTGGCAGTGTACAGAAACTTTGCTTGACCTTTAACACTGCAAAAATGAGAAGCTTGTCAATGGTGGATCCTGCATCTCTGAAACAAATTAAATAGTGAGAATTACTGCTCATCAACCTACCTGTTTTTCATTCAAAGGAAATATAATTTTCATTTGCTAACTCTGTCTCCCAGAGAAAATGATTCTTTAATTCTCTGAAATAGAGTCTGTTTACCAGCTGAGGTACAGGATTGTCCTGGTTTTGGCTGGGATAGGGTTAATTTTCTTCATAGTGCTGTGTTTTGGCCCGAACCAGGACAATGATGCTACAGGAGAGTCCAGAAAAGATTGTTGTGCTATCAGTTTCTCTCAGAATTAAGGGATAATTTTCTGTTGTTCTGCTTCAAAATGGGAGAGAGACATAGAGCTAAGAACCAACAGTAGGAAATTGTTAGAAAAACAAACCTAGGGGTCAGTAAGCTAATTCACTGGGGCCACTCATGTACTAAAATTTTAATTATGTGTACAAATCTCAGCAGGTTCATAGTTTTATACCATAAATTTGTGTAGGTGGTGATATTTATATGGTACTTTTTAAGGCAGTAGTAAATTACTTTTGTCTATAGAATTTTAGTGCTGCTGGTTTTCTTCATTTGTAGTTATAGAATTTAAGACTGTCATTCTCCTGCTTTGAATATAATAGAGCAAATTAAACTAATGGAAATAGTAGGTGAAGAATTGATGCTGATCTTATGACATAATTTTCAGTGAGTCAGCCTAATAATACCTCTACAATCAATCTGTCTAGCTTCCAGCTTCAATGCTACACATATAAGAAAAAGTTAAGCATATCAACCTGAATCTAAAAGAAGAAAAATTACTATAAGTGGTGCTATAAAATAAAAGCAGTATATTTTTTTTTCAAATCTTTCTATTGTTTGTATCTTTCGGCTTTTTCATTAGTGTTCTTTTCTTGTTCTTCTCAAATTGCAGTGTTTGATAAAATATAAATGCATAAAGGCATGCTAAGAACAAATGAGTTTTCAAGAAGCTGCCTTTTCTATTTTGTAAGCAGTACGTGCTGTTTGTTGGAAAGATTATTGACCTATAGATTGGTTAACATCTTGTGTGTAGTTTGTCAAAGCATTTTTTTTCAGCAGTCCAGTAGTTACTTGCTTTCTACAAGCTACTTTCCTAGTTTCCCTTTTTTCCCTATACTCTCTCAAAAATGGAGATAACAGTGTAATTAGATAAACACATAATATTGTCTAAGACTTCAGTTTGTCTTCTGTAACTAAATATAATACTTCTTTACCTTTTGTATGTTATCTAGTGCTTAAATATGTAATTTCAGTGTTTCTATTTTTTTTTCAGGCATTGCATAAATGGAAGTTACACTATGCCAGTATGTGTAATAAAAGCACAAACATAGCAATGCCTATCTTTGCAAAGAGCTTGATCTGCTCTCATTCCTCATGAAAATAATTTCAGTGATTTCAGTTGGATTTAGTCCAAATTGCTAAAGAAAAAGGGCATCATTAGTCATTTATTTCAAGTATAAAATGAAAATAGTAAGACTTTTGAGGGCAGCTATGTATCAGTTTAGTGGTAGAACATATATAATCAGAATATCAGAAAATCTACTGTGAAGAGAAAACATAAACTATTAATGTGTTGTTTTTTTAATTTCACAAGGATTTTTTAAAGGAATGTTGGTAAGCTTAGAAAATTGAAAACCACTAAAGAGCAGTAAACATTATCTTAAACCTCCTTGGTAAATAGCCAGTGCTATTGGCCTGTGAATGAACCTAGGAGGTAATGGGAAAATATTTAATGGGAATGTTTGACCAAAGCTGTGTCTGGCATTCCTTTCCATCATACCACACAAACCTTTTTTCACCTTTTCTTTCAAGTTTTCATGGGAAAACCCATTACTGTTTCAGAGCTGCTGGAGTGAAACCTTGTGGTTTTACTAATGGACTAGCAGTCTGATTAGTCTCTGCTGTTGTAGCTGGGCATAGAATATTAATTTGCTTTTCATTTCATGTGTTAGTCTTTTTTTTTTTTTTTTTTTTTTTTTGAGTCACAATCTGGTACCTAAACCAGTGACTATGTTGTTGCATCTGCTGTTGAATGCCATCCGACCATGTAGGCATTAGGACTTCTGTAGAACTGAAGCTTCTTGGATAAATAGCAATACTTTTTGAAGAAAAACTAAATAAATGTCAGAAGGGGTGCAGACCATGGACTTTGTCTCTGGCCAGTAGTAGTGTGCTGGCAGGAGGTGTGAACAGGGCAAATACACAATGATGCTTCCCTCACTATCGTGTTCTGCCTCCTGTGATCTGTGACTTAGAAATATCTTGATGCAGACATAGGAATCTTACAATTAATAGCACTCAGTGGCTTTTTCTTCCATGATGTTATCAAGGAGTGAAATTACCCATGTTGCAGGTTACTGGCAGGGTCATTTACTTACTGCAGATTAGATCAAAACTCAGCTCCTGCCTCTCCCAGTCACATAAGGAAGCTGATACTCTGCGTGCAGCCTTACTCTGTCTCAGTGTGTACAGGTGTGATTGGAAATTATGAGGGATTTGTATTGTCACCGTAGTTATGTAGGCTAAACTGTACAGAATTCCTCTCTTTTTAACAAGAACCAAACTTTTAAGAAATCCTGTTATGCACGTGAAGCTTTTTTTATAGTCTGTCTCTGTTTCTTCTATCTTGAAAGTATTATCTGTGAACCGTTTTTTTGCTCTCACCTCAGATATCCCCAAGAAAATATTTATATTAAACTTTCTCAGTCTGAGTATCTGAGGCTTATTTTATGTGAAAGATTTATAATAGCATGCAGAATGTTCCTTCACTCCATTTAGATGGATGAAGAGACTTAAACAGATATCGGGAAATGTAACTGCCAGAGGAGGGGTACAAAGTGTGTGCACAGAAACTCAGAGGCCATTTCCCTTCCCTTTCCTTCCCTGAGGTAGTATGAGAGAAAGGAAGACCCGTAGCTGATACGGGATGAGGTCTTATCTTTTGTGATGTCTGTAACTGCACTCTCTTTCTGTAATGGAAGGGAGATTTCATTGTCAGATGCAAGTCAGGGAGGGTTTATTTCCAATTCCTGGTTTAGTTATGCAAGTATGAGGTCTTCATGGGAAACAGTTATAACTACCTAGTGTATGGGAAACAGAGTTGGGTACACAACATTTCCACCAATGTCAATTTAATTTAAAAAAGCTGTGGATAGCCACTTGAATCGCTCTCACATATCTGTCATTCATTTGGCTAGTTCAAACAGATCACCCAGTAGTTACCCTTATTACAGACAAGATTGATTTTGGCAGCAGGAAAGCAGTCATTTTCCCCATATAGAGAGGAGTAGTACACCCTGCTACTGCCAAGCAAGAGTGGGCACTGAAAAAGAAAAAAAAAAGTTAATACAATTACAGAAATTTCTAATTTAAAATGAAAATGTAAAAAATAAATTAATTATAAATGAGCTGAGATTATGAGATTGTATACATTATAAAATAAGATGTGCAAGTTTTTAAAATATCCCACAGGATATCCAAAACCATAGATTTATGGTTGGTTTGGGAAACTTGTTTCTGTTAGGAGGATTCTTCAGTATTTTCTTAGTTTCTCAAATATAACCAAAAGTTAAATTGTTAAATACTTCTGAAAATACCTTTAAGGGATGTTTCAGGAAGGTCTTCTGAGACAAGCTATAAATAAAGCTTCCTTTTAGGTTAGAGAGTGAAAAGGAAAGAAGGAATAAGCAATACGAAACTTCCAGCATCCTTTATGCGCAGTTGATATAGGATTGCAGTATTTCTTTCCTTGACCTCGAACGATATCATTTAGTATTTATAAGGTGCAGTAATATAGTAAAGGGCTTTTCCACTGTGGCCCATTTCACTAAGATTTAAAGCTTTTGAATTTAAGAAAAAGAAATTATTTTAACTTCTGGAAGATATCATCATGCTACTTCTGTTTGGGTTTTTTTTTT